TCCTCTTGAAATTCCAGTCTTCTAGCTTTTCAGATTCCTGAGTTGTCGACTTATCAGCAAAAAAAAATCTTAGGGGTTCGTATTTCGCAACCACGCATTCCTTGGAGGTGAATTTGAAATCATTATGTTCTACATGGACGAGTGATTTCCCTTAAAATTTCAGCTTCCTAGCTTTTCTGGTTCCCGAGTTAGCAGTTTTTCTGCCAAAAACTTTGGCAAGCCCGTGCGTGGGGACCAGATGGATAAGGGCGCTTGTTTTGGGATGGAGATGCCCGTATGTGCGTGTTGATTGAGTTCCCAAAGTTTCAGCCCTGTAGCTTTGTAAGTTTCGAAATGAAAAATCGGTACAGGCCAACACACAGGCACAAACGCAGACACAGACAACACCTCGACATTATGCGTATTTGCACTGCATAGATGCAAAAAACGCATAAAAATCAATGCGTCAAATTGAGAAACGTCCCATTGTAACAACTTAATTTTACATGACCGATAAGGTTCTAATGCATTTGCTGGGAAGGTTGTAAGCAATGTCCAGAATTGTTACGATATGCATAAGTGCTCTAAAAAAGGCTCGCGTCTTTGTATTTGCCACTAGGCAGTTTTGTACAATTCATTGCAGAGATTGCAGTACAGTAAAACTTGTTTCTTACTATTTGAGTAACTTATGTTCTCAAAATTCTTTTAACTTTAAAAACTTCCATACATACATCGTTAGTATCTTCCCAGCTATAGCTCTTAAGCTTTCGATATTGCTGAGGTTTGGTAAACTCAGCTGTGTTATACTCTCCTTTTTAAGTTGCTTTTTTCCAGTTGGCACCCGATGTTTTTGTCTAAGTAGCATTAATGCATAGTATCTGCTGATTAGCAATATGTCATGTACAGAAACCGTTTTGCGCATCGATATCGCGATTTTATTGTCAGTCTAGACACCATTTTCTTAAGATTAGACATTCTAGATACCAGTTTCTTTGTAATCCTTCTATATTTGCTGATTTACATTCTTTTTTGCCTTCCATCATAGTTTGTTTCTGAAGTTTGCAGCCATCACCGGATCTGTAAAGCTTAAGAAATCTCTTGCAGGTTGCTTTTCAAATGCTGGATTTATGTCATACCTTGCATGTAAAAGGAGCCGCCATATACTATAGCTGGGCCGAGGGAGACACAGAGGTTTTTTTTTTCTTTTTTGCAGAATTATTTAAAAATTTGAACAACTTGAATTATTCTGTTTCACTGAATTTGTTTCTCCAAATTCAAGAACTGTTGGAAAATAGCTGTTATTCACTTTAGATTGATACAAGTCCGTCTGCTTTATGGTGTCATTGCTGGCGCCCACTTTTGCAATGCATCGTTCGACTATGTTGTGATTGCAGGCGGCAAGTACGAACGCAAGCACTTAATTTTCTTGTGGTCAGTTTTGTTTGCTCTTTTCCCTGCAGAATTAGCCTTCGTTCTCCTTTACCTTTCCTTTTATACATTGTTTTCATTGCAAATTATATGAAGAATTCATCCAAGGATCTCTCCGAAACCGCATAAACAATCGGACTTTCCGTCAGGTGAGCAGCATGCAGAATGTCGTTAAGGCCACGTAAGAAAGTAAAATCCGATGGGCAGGACGTGTTGCTCGGCTTGCCGATAACCGTTAGACAACGCGTTTTAGCGAGTAGTTTTCACAAGTAAGTAAACGGTTCCTCGGACGACTCTCGAAAAGATGGCGCACATACATTGAACAGCGATAGATACTAATTGGAGATATGCAGCCAAGAATCGAAGGGCCTGGCATAGCTGCACTCGGCTTAAGACAGTATTTCAGAACATCACTCGTGTGGATTGATATTTTTGGCACTCATCCAAAAAAAGCATCTGTGAAAGCAAAAAAGGTGAAGCATAGGGATGCTTCAACTTTCTTGCGTTCACAGCAACTAATATTTATAAATTCATTCCCCAACTGCTTCCTAAAGGTGTGTTTTTGGTTTCAGCTTTCTTTTTTTTGACTGTAATGCCACCTGAAGGGTTTTTCGAATCTCTCTAACAACAGTTTTTCAGCGTGCATTTTTGATACCAGAAATGCAAGTGATGCACGGTAAGCAATGGGAGCAATGTTTTGGTGAAGTGCTTTTTCCACTGTTACAAAAACTTCTGGAAAATCTCTCACCAATGGATCCAATTGGAATGGAAGAAACACGAGTGCGGGCAACGCAGCTTGTTTCGAAAATTTTACTCAATCATCTTACGTTAGTTTTCCTTGTTTTTTCCCAAATTTTATTTAAAATTTTCGAATTATTTGCAGTATCAGAAGTTTGAATTATACAAACAGTCCAAAATATTATTCAAAATATCATTAGTGTCGAATATATAGCCAGCTATCATCGAACTGGGCTCAAAGAAACAGCTACTAATACTCATAAATTCTCAAATACCTGATTCTTGATTGGCGTTTTTTGGAAGTTTTTTCACAGTGCTGAGGTGTAGTGATCCTTTTTGCAACGGCTAAATCGTCTAGTGGTACTCACCGTATCAGTTTTCTCTGTGTGTGTGAGTGTGTGTGTGTGTGTGTGTGTGTGTGTGTGTGTG